CCCCCTCCACTGCCTTTCCCTCACCCCGTGGGTTGGAAATGTCCCATCCTGGCTGTCCCCTGGCCTGGGACGCAGCAGGGAGCCCCCGGCCCAGCCCAGCCGGGCAGCTGCCAGCTCCCTCCTCTTCCTGCAGCGCTGACGGCCCCCGGCCCGCAGAGCAGATTTTATAAACCAAAAGAGCAGAACAACCTTCTCCAGCACTGACTGCACCTCAGCCGTGCTCACGCGTGCCGTTGCGATTCTCTGAACGCAATTCAGTAGAGAAAAAGATTGTATACTGTGAGCACAAAGCTGTTTATATGCCATATACGTATATAACAAATCTATTTATAGCTATAGAAATATATACTGCATATAACCCTACTGCATAGGTAAAGCAGGGTATTCGCCTTGATATCTATTCCCATCAACACAAACACTGTGCAATGAGGGATGGGACATTACCTTGACATGGATGAACTATGCAAGCACTGAATAAAAACTCTATTTTTCACTGTTAAAGCCAGCCCTGGCTCTTCTTGAGCATCCTCTCTGAACACCCATCCTCTCCCAGCGCCCGAGGGGTGAGTTCCCCCCCAGCCCAGTACTGTCGCTGCGGGTTTATGGCTGTGGCTGGTGCGTTGCTGCACTAAAGCCACGCTGTCGGCCCCGCTTCAACCACCTCCCTCCGCCCCGAGCTGCGGAGCCGGCACAGCCCGGCATTCGCGGGGTGCTCTGCAGCTCAGGCGTTGTACCCAGAAAGAGCGGTGACCCCCACGGCTCTCCCGCTCCCACAGCGGGAATGGAGACACCACGCATTCCTGGTGCGTTTCTCCCGGAGCCACCGTGCCATGACTGTGACCTAAGGACAGGCGAGAAAACCTGCACAGGAAATTAAACAAACACATTTTGCACACCCAGGCTCTCGTCGGGGCCACCCGCGGGCAGCTGCCCTGGAGCGAGGGGAAAGGGGTGGCCGAGCACAGGGAGGGAGGAGGAGGGTGGGGATTTGTCTCAAGCCTGGAACAGGGGTCAAGATAAACACTTCCCATGGCAGAACACAACGCTCCTGCTTTCTCCCCACAAACATCATGGGACTCTCCCTGCCCATGTTAAACAAACACCAGAAAGACCATTACAGAACTGGTCTCCTGCTTCAGCCAAGGGCTCCCACATCCACAGCAGCCCCAGGCAGAGGGGGGATGTGCCCAGCCCCTGACCACCCAAACTGGGGCACAGTCTGTAGCACAGGGTGACCCTGCTTGGAGAGCTCGCACCGGCTGGTCCCTGTCACCCCAACACTGCCGGCGGCTGTCGGAGTCTCCCATCCCGGCCACGATCCGGGGTGGATGGGGAGCTGGGAGCATCTCCTACCCAGGGCAACCTGTCCTCCAGCTTCCCTTTCTGTTTATCTTTAAGATGAGATAAAATCTTCACCCCAGCCAGACTTCCCAGCTCCCTGGCTCTGCTCACCCCAAGGGAGAACAGGCAGGAGCTGCCCGGGCTCCATCCCGCCCCAGGGGCAGGCAGCAGCCTCGGCTTCTGCTCCAGGCGAGGGACGGGGTGGGCACCGCTGGGCTCAGGCTTTGTGCCTGGCAGCAGGTTATTTGGCTGCCAAAATCTTTCAAGACAACTCTCTGGGACGGCCACATGATCCTTCTCCTCTTACCCAGCGGATGTTTAACCATCACATCTCTCCATGCTGTTTTTCTCAAATGCAATCAGAAAACACAGCTGGGACCACTGTGGGCTGCGGTGGAGCTGCTGGTGGTGCCTCTCACTGGGGGAGGTGGGAAGGAAGGGTCCATCCCCCAGGGAGGGCTGAGGAGCTGCCACCATCAGCTCTCCTGAGGGACAGAGTGCCCACCCCACAGCGTGGGAACAGGCCAGGAGCTCCAGGAGAGATGGGGATGGGGATTCTCTCCTCCTGCAGCCGGGAGGGCGAGCGGTGGGGACCACGGCAGCGCCCATCAGCCCCCGAGACACAAGTCCCAGGAGCACAGACAGCCCCAAAGGAGCAGCGGTGCCCGAAGGAGTTAACGGCGTGAACTCAGCGCTGCCTTCCCTTGTCAGGAACATTCCTCAGAGCCAGCGATGATGCACAGCCTTACTTTAAAGAGCATTTGTTACACACAGCTCTGCTGAGCCAGGCTTCAAGCTGCTCAATGCCTGGTTTAAAAATAACCGGCACCTCCTCTGGTTCGGAGCTGGGTCCTGATAAAATAAACATTAGCACAGCTATTTCTGAAGGTCACTCCCATCCATCTGAGGCTCGGCAGAGCAAGGCTGCTTGACGAGAAACGAGCTCGTAAGAGACTCCAAATGCATTTACGGTTTGGCTCTGGAGCTTGGCTCTCTCTGGGGCTGGTTTCTCCCCCATTATCCAGCAACAACTACCCCCTCCCAGACTGTTTGCAGAGCCTAAAGAATTACTTAAGGCACCTCGGTCAAGCCCATGGGTGTTTGCTGTCCCGCACCAGCCTCTTAGTTGTCCTTTAAGGACTGTGAGAACAGCGTGATGGGTCCTGCACCCACCGCGGGGCCTCTCCCCAGGCAGAAGAGGCACCGTTGGCTGCCACGGCTTGGGGACAGCTTCTCTGCGCACATCCCTGGATCCCCCATCGCTGTACTGTGCTACACCTATAAGACCCTTTGGGACTCTTGCCATGCAAGCAATAAATTATAAATTAAATATTTACAGCATCCATTGCACGGGAGAATTCGTAATTCAGCATTAGCCCAAGTGCCAAAGCAATGTGAAACTATTTACATGTCGAGGAGAGGTTATTAATACATCTCAGCTCGCCAGAGATGCTGACTTGCCAAGAAGTGACTGTAAACTCATTTTAGACTTGAGGACCTTTAACTTACCCTCATTGATGGATTGAGACTAGAAAAATCTACCATAAATCAGAGCTCGCACAAGTACAATTCTGTGGGATCTTCAAATCCCACCGCCTCTCCAAAGCTCTCCCTTCTCCACAAACACAGATGCATTTTTACGCTCATCCAACCAACGGGACACCTGAGGCACTGGCAAGCAGCGAGAGAAAAACCACACAATAAAACCCAGATGTCCAGAGTTCCCACTGCACTCCCTCGGGAAGCCATCCCCCTTTTCCAAGACCGCGGGAGGTGCAAGAGACACCGCAGAGAGACGCTTCTTTCAGCGCGGCCATCAAGTAGAGTTACAACTCAAACAGCCTTTTCTGTGCCTGCCTCAACCCGTTACACAGTCTCCAGGGGGGAACAACCCACCAGCCCAGCCCTGCGCTTGCGGTGCCAGCTCTCCTCTGCTCCGCAGAGCAGGTCACCATCCTGCCCGGGCTGGACTCAGGCCGACAAACCAGTAAGGAGACTGGTGAGAGCCAGGCAGGTGCTTGCAGCAGAGGGACCCGCTTTCAGTGAGCCGCTTGTTTCTTCCCAGAGAGAAAAGACAAGACCCTAAATGTCTTTACAGTTTATTATTAGTTCTCACACTGATTCATTTCAGCAGCAGCACGAAGCTGCAGCAGCACACCAAATCCCCGAGCGGATGAAAACTTGGGAGAAAGCGACATGTACTCACAACCGCTGCCAAGGGTCCAGGCTCGGTGGGGCTGCAAAACGCCTGCCCTTTGGGCTGCTGCGTGCTCGGTGGGTACTTCGGTGCCCAAAGCGCCCATTTACCCTAAACGTCTCCCTCCCAGGGCTGCACCGCTGGAACCTGTGTCGGCTGATCCCACGGCGCCTCTCTGCCCGCTCGGGGATGGAAGAGAAGAGGCCCCAGCAGCTTGCTGCCACCGCAGGTGCCACGTCCGGGCAGGTTTACCCGCAGTACTTCACCACCAGGTTCCTCCACAAACGCCAGGAACAGCCACAGCAACACAGCCAAAAGGAAGCCAAGAGGAGATTTTTGGGTTTTCTCCACTGCTGCTGGCAGCGTGGCTGATCAAAACAAAACAGAAGACCTGTCTGAAGGTACTCAGTCTCCCCAAGACAAACGCCAAGCTTCCTTCGGCCCAAAGCATCAGAAAAACCGTGCAAAGACACAGTTTTAGGTGAAGAAAGATGTTTCATAGTTAGCTCTGTGCCAGAAAACACGTGGCAGATGCAGGGAGAACACAACTGGGTATCCTATATTAATACACGCTTTAGCCTCCATTCCCTGGACAGCACAGAAAATATCTCAAAACCCACATTTGATGACTGCAGCGGAGTAGATGATTGTCATCTGCTGTGGCAATTAGAGTGGCAGATGTCCCATCATCTCATTGGAACAGCCGCTTCATTGATTCACGCGGCAGAAGCCGGGCAGTTCAGTAACAAGACCAGGGGGATGCCAAGCAGGGGATTCAGGACATACTCCCAGCGCTGCCG